GGCACTAGATTACCGATATGCAAACAAGTTTGCCCTCTTAATAAATACGACCATCTATCCTAAACCTGGTCATAAACTTGTCTACACACCTATGACCGGTGAAATGAAATGCCCTAAAAATATACCTTTGCTTTGCGCATTCCATTCCATCTCCTCCATCGTTGATGCAACACATGCACCAACCAATCACCAAATGATATGATCCACTTCATATCATCACGTGACCGTATTGGTTCTTCGATCTTGACTTCACTTGCTCTTCACCACCGCTGCCTTGGTCCATCGGTAGCCAAGTCATCACTCGACTTGCCCTTCACACTTGCAACCGGTCCATCGAGCCAAGTCTTGTCTTGATCTTCTCCACCTTGATCACATGACTCCATGTCATGTCTCATATGCAATGAGCTTCTTCATCATATGTGTGAGCCTTGCAACAAATCCAAGCCATCTTCACCATCATGGCATGAGTTGCTTACACACATGTACTTGTGGACTAATCACCTATGTATCTCACTCAAACACATATTAGTCCACCTAAAGTTGTCACTCAATTACCAAAACCAAACAAGTTCTTTTTACCATGCCATCATTTTTCAGACAAGGGCATTTGTGGTAATGTGATGGCCACATAAAAGCGCAAAGAGTCACTGTCTCCGCCTCCATCTCCACTCTCTAGCCACACCATCTCTCCTCCAGCTCCAAATCCTAGTCCCATGGCCTCCGTTTCCACTCTCTAGCCACCCCCTCTGCCACCCCGCTATAGACCCTAGGCACTATCGGAACAGCAGCTCAACTCCCTCTCCACTCTCTAGCCACACCCTCTCTCATACATTTCTGAACCCTAGCCAGAGTCGGATCCTATTTGATTCATCGACAACCGATCGATTAGCTGATGATGGAAGGACCGCCTCGACGATGGTACAAGCCATATCTGGATCCCCTACCTAGCTCAGTACCTATCACGACCGACCAGATCTGATCCCTAGCCGAAGCCAGATCTGGTACCCCTTCGTCAACGCCAGCTACACCAGCTCCGCGACCGTGATGATAGGACGGCGGTGCCGACGACAAAGCAAAGCTAGGAACACGGAGGAAGAGGTACCCAAATTCCTTTTATGATGTGTGCTCTACTGTAGTGGCTGAACCAAGGATATGTAGATAGCGATGGGGTTACATATTTCCTATAGTTGAGTATAGCTGACATGTGCTTTATTGGATTAATGACTTCAGATATAAGTCAGTAGTTACTAGTTAGGCACTTATTTACATACTCTTGCTCTCTCAGTGTTGACATTTCATAGAAGCTTTAGTTAATAAATGCCTTTGTAATCTAGATGAACAGCCACTATCTCGCTTATGAGCGAGCACGGGATGCACAAATCGCAAGAAATCATAGAAAGATGGAAGAACTTGGAATCGACGTGGGGCCCAAAAACCCAGGTCTCCAAAGGCAAAAAATCAAGCACAAAGGGTAGACACGGTGAAGATTTGGAATATATCCCTGAACCGGGGAGGTAGTTGAGGAATTTGATGATCATACAGATGAAACGGATTCAGATTTAGAAGATGAGCCAGTGCCCCTATCAATTGATGAGGTGCTTGTTCTATCTTGTATTTAGTTCGGAGGGGAGGGGGCAGGGGTAGGTAGTCGAGCAATGCTTTACTGTTTGGATATCAATGGAATTTGTACATGCTTGCTGCTTAAGTTTGTATCTCTAATTTCAGTGTTTGGGTCGAAGAAGCCATAGAGGAGGCTCTATCAGCAGGACAAAAGGCAGCGCTGCCATGAGTCCTAGGTGAAGGCACTCCAAACGAGTGAGGTCAATACCACCAGAAGTGGTTGCTCATGGATTTTGTACTCGAAGGTCTTCCACTAGCAAAAGGGTGGAGGTAGCAGTAGTAGGTGAACATAATTCTCCATCACGACCGACACCCGGACCCAGGGATCAATTCCAAGTTCATCCATTGACTGGAGACATTGGTCGGGATGACACCCTACCTAGCCCTGAGAGAGACTCCTCACGGCCAGATGATGATAGCCCTGCTGAAGAGGAGCCCTCTCAGCAAACTCTCATCTCCCTCCACCCACAGAACAATAAAAGTAGCCTAGGTTGGTATTACCTTACAGATGTCTATCAATCAATTTGCACTAGCTATTTGATATCCATGTAACTTTTCTAACAATCTGAATGTATGAAAACTATGTAGTACCATTGTTGGGAAGAGCGAGGAAGCTGAGGCCTCGAACTCGTGAAATTATGCTTGACAAAATGAACAAATCACTAGGAGAAGCGAGGATGCGCATCTCTATTGCCGAGGGGAACAGAAGGCCACATGATCTAGTGCAAGCTGCCAAGTTTGCCTTAGAGGCAGGTGTAGTGGTCAGGAAAGAAGTACCAATTTTGACACATTGGAAAGAATACAAGGGGGAGAAGCCCGGCGCCGTCTATTGCACAAGATTTGTGGAAAGACTAAATGTATGTATGGGTATCCCCTCTTGACATTCAACTGTGCATTGAGCAACTTTAACAGATTTACTTTTCATTCACACTACTGTGTGTAGGGAAGGCTGCACGTTAACGGTGCTCACTCACCAACAAAAAAAGCTTGCCGAAATGTAATGTAGTATATGGTACGGCAGGAACGCTATAGGTTGAAGAGAACATATTTCAATGGTGTCCCTGCTAATCAGATCCGTATGACCTCTCCTGTCTTGTCCATGAATAATGCACAGTGGTGTGAACTTGTCAAGATTTGGTCTAGTGCTAAGAACAAGGTGTGTGAATGCATCGATTTCCTGTCTAGTCTTGCTATGGTCTACTTGTGCTGCAGTCTAACACAAGTAAAGCTATAGAAAACATCTGAGAAGAACAAGCAAAACCATGCAAAAGTGAAGTACCACCAGGCTATAAGATCTCGCTCCTATGTTGTCCAGATGCAAATATTTGTAAGTGATGGTTGTGTTTTATTGCTACTCTTGGCTTTGTATAAATATAAATCAAAACTCATGTGCAATGTGAACAGAAGGAGAACAAGAGGAATGCATCAGAACAACATCAAGGACTTGAAGAAGAAAATAGTCCACCTGATGAAGATGTTAATGCTGTGGAAGTCTTCCGGGCCTTCCATACCAGAAGGAAAAATGGCCCTAGCGATACTGCAAGAGCAGCAGTTGTAAGTACCTTCTTTTGCTTCCCTTAAAATCTACTGAAGCTATTGCCATAAAAGAAGGAAACGTAGCAGGAGCCTAGTGTTATGGAAATCTACTAAAATCTACTGAAGCTTATGTAATCTCTATCAGCAGTAGGCTAAGGAAGACATATACATTACTTGTTATGAATCAATCTCTTGGGTTTTCAATTGAAGTCCTCTTACACTATCTGTAACCTAATGTTTTACTGATTAAATTTCACAGGAAGCTATGGAAACTATGCAAGCAAGACCTGTCGTTGATGGGCAGCAATCAATTACTAGTGTTGATGTTGTTTGCAAGGTCCTCTGCGTCCACACTGTGGCAAGGCCCCTCCTAGGGAAGCGGCAAGACCTTTTTTGAAAAATGTTTGGTATCCAGACAAGCTCCACCGAGCAGAGACATCACGGAGAGAATGCTTCTGCGAACAAATTTGCTGAATGCAGAAAAAGTTCATTGTCCTTGTCGATCAAGTGGATGAATTGAATAGGAAGACAAAAAAGACTGAAAGGGAGCTTGAGGAATACAAGAAACGGCAACAGGAGGAGTACAACAATCTCCGTGAGCTATGCACGCGCTTCAACTCTTATGGTAATTCTCGGTCTTGACTCTCGTGGCTTGATGCAAAGTGAACATTTATGGTTTGACGTGTGGACTCATGTGCCGGTTTTATGTGTGGACTCATATGCCGTTTTAATGTGGTGATATTCTGTCAGTGGTTTGCTGCTGATGTATGAAATGTAAATTGTTATTTGATTGCCAGGCTAAATAGTTATGTAGTCAGTCTGTGCAGTAGTGATGATCTCTAATTACTTCTATGACGAATTGATTGGGGCTAGCGGACAAGACGCGCCCGGGGATTACAGCGCGGACGTGAGCGCACGCTGTCCCCTTCCGTCACGCGGGATGCTGAGATGGCCCCCGTTGTTGGGCCACTATACCAGTCTATAGATCGGTTGGCTAGGGAGTGAGAGATGCGTGTGGACGTGCTGCGGCCGCCGGATGTCCGGGCCCGAAGCAGTAGTCAAACATCTCATGTGGCGAGACAGATGAAATCCGTGAATAACTTGGGAAGCGTGACTGCAACATTGTTTAGCAGTAGAATGCACAAAGATCCAATCAGCAACAGCAGCATGCTTGTACTTGCGGGCACTTCCAAGTCTTTCCAAACCTTTCACTGTTACCAGCAATCATGTGGTGGGATAACAGCGAATACTGACTGAGATATGACTGCAAGCATAACAGCGAATGGGGTTTGCACTTTGCAGTTTGCTGGAGTTTTCAAGTTACATGAGCATCTTTTTGGAGCGGGAAGGTTTGAAGTTCATATGTAAAACGCGCACAAGGCGTACAAGGTATCTGATGTTTCTTGCCGGATCCATCTGTTTTCATATTTGTTGAGTCATATCAATGCATCCAAGAAAGAGTCTATCTCCATGCTGACTGAGTTTCTGCATTTTTGTGAGTCAAAAAAATTCAGATTAATAATAAGATGTGAGTCATCTTACGTGGACTGAAATTGTTGAAGAAAATTTTGTTCATTCGACCAACAGCAAGCGCAAAATGAACTGGCGATCTGACTTTGACTGCATGGGTTTAACAGTGATAGCAAGGACCAACAATACAAGTTGCAGATTCCGACAGTTCTATATATACGCCAAGGCGATTACAAGGTTACATATATATAGATCACAACAGGGTTGGCAGCAATGCTTGTGTAAAAGCCCCGAGCAACGCTGCGATCACACAATTCCATCCTGGATGTGGGGAAATCACCATCTTATATACTGCATCCCTGCTGCTCACTTTTTCAGGCAGTCACACACCTCCATTCCTCCGGAGGCCTTCTTGAGATCCTCGTACATCTCCTCTCTATCATCGGCTTCCACAGCCGAACGCGGGCGTTGATGAACCAGTTGGAGACCTGCCAATGCAAATGCAACAGATGCATTCGTATATATATATTTCTTGTTAGAGTTGCTGAGATCTGATCTGAATCAAGTTGCAAGCAGGGCGAGAAGCATGAAACTGTACCTGGCTCCTGCTCAGGCCGCTCCTCGCTGCTAACATCTCCTTCTCGTTGTCTTTCGGGTACCTGAATGATGATATATCACATATGGATTAGTTAGTTCTGAATCGTACGAGGTTATCTCCCATTTGCATGTGGAAAGAGATGCTGAAATCCTAAAGATTTCTCTGAATGCGAGACAGAGAGACTTATTACGGGCGGAGGAAGTTCTCGAACATCCAGGCTTTGAGCACGGCCACGGACTTCTCCGGTAGGCCGCGCTGCGGCCGCCACGACTGCTGGTCGCCGCGCCTGAGCTGCCGCAGCGCCCAGTGCTTCTGGATGAAGGCCGACTCCCAGCTGCGCTCCCTGTTGGCCACCGACAGCGACATCGACGACGACGGCTGATCACCTCTCCGCGTGGCCGCCGCGATCTCGCCAGTGATCCGCGCCCTGAGCCTCCGGTGCATCGCTGACACCGCGCGGTGCGCGAACGGCGCCGAGAGCGCGCAGCCGCCCGGGCGCACCAGGCTGCCGTACTTCGACGCCGCGCTCTGGATCTCGTCCATGCATTGCTTGCACCGTTGGTCCATCTGCACCGAGTAGAGTACTTATTTATTAGCATAATAACATCAAATCAAAGTGATGTTATTCTAATAAGCATATATAATAAGAAAAATAAGAGTTGCGTTGGGACTACTCACTATCTGTAACAGTTTCTGGAGGTCGTTCTTGAGCTTAAGGTCCTCCGAGCCAGCAAACACCGGCGGGTTGATGACGTCGTCTTGGAGCAGCTCGACGATGGCAGCAAGCAGCTCGCCTCACCGCCGCCGGCTGCCGGCGAACCCGGCCACGTCTTGCAGCAGGCAGGCGACGAACTCGTCCAGCGCCTGCTGCGCGATGTCAGCGTACCCGGACCACCGCGACAGGACCTGCGAGAAGTGCATGGAGCCCGGACGAGCCACCTGTCCGGCTCCGGCGCCGCAAGGAGGCTGGAACAGGCCGGGGCCGGCGCCGGCGCTGCTACTCCCATGTGTCAAGCCGGAGCAGCTCACGTCCGAGGACTGGTCCGGCAGGCTCACGCTCACAGCACCTGCCGTCGGGGAGGACCCAGCGCGCAGCCTGAGCGACAACTCGCTCGCGGCCGCCGCCCCGGCGAACGGGTCCCGGTCCCGGAAGGCGTCGCCAGAGAACCACGTCGTCGGGCAGTAGTACGAGGACTCGTGGATCCAGCCGCCTTCCGCCGGCTCTCCAGCGATAATAAGCTGCTTGGCCATCCTGGGCGCGTGGGCAACGGTGACGTCCCAAGGCGACGGGCCGTACGACCCGCCGCCGGTGACGCCGTAGGCACCACCGTGCGTCGTCTCCTCCGGCGACACGCTCTGCAGCGCGGTGGCACGGAGCAGCTGGCCGGCGAGCAGCACCGAGCCGTCCGCCGAGAAGCTCGAGGCGGCGACGACGTCCGCTGCTGGCTCGCCAACAAACCCAAAGCCGCTGCTGCTGCCGCCGTGCGGCGTGCTGTACCCGGGACGTGGAAGAGGGTGCGGCGTTGGCGCTGATAATACCACTGCCATCGCCGCTGACGAAGAAGCTGCTCATCATGGCGTCGACTCCGAGTCCGAGCTGCTGCTGATAAGACGCGTTGCTGCCGGTCATCTTGAGGCTCGGGAGAAGGTGTCAAACGTTGTAGATACCGAATTAAAAAAGGAGGACCTGAAACTGAATGCAGCAGCGGGCGGCGCGAGTGGAATATACATGAACACTGGTCAGGACAAGGTTAGCAGATTGCTCGTCCTACCAGGGAAAAAAAAAGGGAAATGCAAAGGTAACCTGGCAGCAGCAATCAGGCATATGGACAATGCAACAGAGATGCACATGAGAGAGTCTACGACCGTAGGCGGCGTTGTTCTCCTAGAGAAAAGAGAATAAACTAGTAGACCACAGGACGAAAAAGTTACTATATCCTATTATTATGTAGGCTGTGTATCTTGATTCTTGAAGTACTCTCTACTCGTTTAAAGCACACAGTAAAACAGGATGTTGGTCAACACTAAGAAATGTGAGCCTCAATTTTGAAACGGAGAAAGCTGGATGCATCTGTTACTACTCTACTGAATGCCCGAATGCAAACAGCCAAAATACCGATGAATTAATAAAATAGGCTTAGCCGACATGCATGGCAATGGCAACAGCTACAGCTAAGCATATATAGATAGATGGCTTCTTGGAAGCAAAGCAAGCATATATTAGAGGCTCAAGAGTGAGGACCCAAACCTTATCAAATCATCATGCAGAGAAACGCTGACAGGCTACTGAAACGCCAACCACCACTCTGGTACGTCCCGGGGAAGCAGCAACCAGAGTAATCTGAACGAAGGAACAAAGGCCAGCACAGACCACAGATAGATAGAGAGAGCAAGAAGCACAGATCGATATCTGAAAGTGGTCTCGACTCCTCAAATACAAAGAGAGATGCACTGCCACTGAGCAAGAAGAAGCTCTGAGAAGTTTGCGGCTGCTGGCCACTAGTATACTAAAACGGAAAGGGGAGCGTTTCCTAATAAAACGGCTGCAGGGAGAACGAATGGCGTGCGTGTGCGTGTGCGTGTGCGTGTGCGTGTGTGTGGTGGGGGTGAAGTGAGGTGCGTGGTTGTTTTGCTTTGCAATCCCCGGGCCGGCCGATAGATGGAGAAAGAAGGAGAAGCAGCAGCTAGCAGCAGGGAAACAAGGCGGTCAGGGAGAGGTGTTATCAGGCCGGGGCCGGGGCCGGCGCGGCGCCATGATCAAAGCAAAGCACGAGAGAAAGAGAGGACGAAATCATGCATGCATGGGTCCTAGCCACTCTACTCCTACGGTCCTACCAAGGGCCAAGGGGATGGAGGGACGCAATGCAGCAATCACATACTCTCGTGCAAAGGCAGCAGCATATGGCGCCCCCGAAACTGAAAGTGGGTAATGCCCATACGCGGCTGGTTTGGCTACAATGCGCGCGAACAGTGGCAGTGCGTGCCAGAGCAAAAGACACAGGCTCCAGGTTCAAGCATGGTGGAGGGATCCTTTGGATCATACTTATGCATGAGTGCATCATGGCCTGTGTGCTGTGCGTGGAATGTGTCTGAGTCTGACTCTGAGAGAGAAGCTAAGGGTGGAGAAGATACTACAGAATGGGGGAACGAACTGCTTTAATTTATGGGACTTATCACCTCATGATTTCCCCGCCCCCCTCTCCATCTTGCATTGTAGGACAAAACATGCATGAGGTGCAGTAGATTATCCACCATAGCTAGGATCGAGTAGATAGATAGATACGTAGATAGATAAACAATTATATTGGATGACTTCATGCATGTGTAGTGTATGTTTACGAGTAGACCTTCTTGCTAACCACCAGGCAACAGCAGCACCAATCATTGTCCAATCCCATGATCCCAACCCAGGCAGGCACTGTCGTCGATCTATGCGAGGATGCGGACCGACATGTAGATCTACAATTGTGGGAAAGAAACAAGGGCTCTTTCAGGACAAAGCCGGGCCCACTCGCTGTAGCGTACCACCAGGGCTCAGGCTACTGCAACAAGCATGCATAAAACCAGCGCGCTTTCCATTTGCCTCAGCAAATGCCAGGCGAGAGAGAGCATGCACGCCAGGGCAGGGAGAGCTAGGCCAAGGCAACTAGGCAAGTGCGTCCAAGCCAACTTTAGGGCGCTCTGGTTTTGATCTGCGGCATGCACATGCACGCACACTTGCCATATCAATCAGCAGCATGCGGCATGCATGCGTGGATTTTTGAATCAAATCTAGTATAGATTGCCAAAAAAAATCTACTAGGTTAGCAAGAAAACAACGTGAAATGTGTTTCTTTGTTTTTTGAAAACCAAAACGAGGAGGACATAAACGACGGAGAGGACGGGAGAGGAGGGAGAGTGAGTGTGCGCAGGCTTTTCGAGGACAACCTTCCCCTGCCTGGCTGCCTCCCTCTATCTTTATGTCAGCGGTGTACATGCACTATCTGCTTGGTTTTTGCACACATCCCGCATCCTCCTCCTGACGCGCTCTGTCAAGTATACATGGCCAACCCGGCCGCACTGCATGGCACGCCACGAGCACGGGCACGATACGGCATGGCACTGTGGGGGGCACGATACTATGCGGCACGACATCCTACCGTGCCGTGCCGTCTCGGGCCGCCGTGCCGAACTCTCGGCCTAGGCACGGCCCTATGTCTCCTCAGCCGCTTTGTGCCGTGCCGTGTTTCACAAGCACGGCAGCCCACCATGGTCGTGGCCGGGCCGTGGGCTGCAAGGGAGGAGCCGAGGAGCTCTCCGAGCCAAGCCATGTCGCCGCCGTGGACGAACATGCCGGCGTTGAGCCACCCTCGCCCCCGCTGGCGCCTCGCGATCGCCGCCATGGCCGCCGCGCGTCGTCATAGCGGTGCCTCGCACGAATGCCATCGGGACGCTGTAATTGTGCCTCACACGAACACCGTCGCGCCGCCGCCGTCGTAGCCGCACCTCGAGGAGAAGACGAGTGGGGGAGGAGTGGCGTGGGACTACCGGCCGCAGGCCTAGGGAGCGTGAGGCGGAGAGGCACGAAAGGCTTCTATGGTTGGGACTCGGGAAGAGAAGACGGGAGGAGTACCGAGAGAAAGAAATGACGGCTGGGAGTGAAAGAATGAGAGAGAACGAGGAGGGGAGTTGCTTTTATAGCTAGGTAAATCAATCCAACGGACAATAATACTTCAAATCAATCCAAGGGTCGAGAATAATCGAGCCACCATCATGCCGGCTCATTAACCGTGCCGTGTCCGTGCCGGCACTACGGGCCAAACCTTCGGCCAGGCACGGCCCTAAATCGTGCCGTGCCGGCACTGGCACTCTAGACATCATGCCTTGGCGTGCTAGTGTCCTGCTTTTTTTGCCCCGGCCCAACCGTGACTGGCCCATTTGGCCATCTATACTGTCAAGGGTGATCAGGGCGGCCAAAAGATCTGGAATCTGTTTGCAGTCTGCCTACTGCTGCGGTTGCCGGTGGTGGCAGGCTGTGTACTCTCCCTCTCTCAGCCTATCAGCCTCTCAGGTCTCTCAGCAGGAAGCTGGACGTGCACCTTCGAACAAACGAGTAGTGCTCGTCTGTCCTACTTCCCTTCCACACAACTCTACTGCTTGGTGATGTAAAAAAAAAACCCTCTACTGCTAGGCAACCACAATGTGACCATAAAACAATGTGAAAGTGGCCTATGAAACAGTCAATAGCAAAGAACAAAGAAATATTACTCCTCCCTCCTCTGTCTCTCTTGCTCTTGGTTCTAGCCTGGTGACTGTCCGTTCGGACATCGTGGGAGGTCGTCCGCGCGGTGACTCGAGGCCACCATCCTAGACGTCCGCATGCCCTAGAGAGGCCGTCGTCCTTGGCATCCGCGCGGCCAGCGAGCCAGCCACCGGGAAGGTCACCAAGACTCCTGGGCACAAGGAGTGTCCACTACGCCACTAGCGATTTTTAAGGGCGGCTCATGATAATTTATAGGAGCGGTTTTGGTAGCCGCCACGCCTCACACTACAAATCGCGGAACCGTCCCTACAATTCAGATTTGTAAGGGGTGGTTCAAGATTTGTAGAGGCGGCTACAAATCAATTTCCGAAATTTCCGAATCCGCACCAAAAAAATAACAAAAAAATATGATTTTTTTTAAATCTAGGAGGCCCCCACCGGTCACCACCCGCCTCTGTCAAGTCAGCGGTATTTTAGCACAAAATCAAGGCTTTGCAGCTGCTGGGATTCGGACCCAAAAATAGTAAAAGAAATATGATTTTTTAAATCCAGGAAGGCCCCAGCTTGGTCAGCCATCCGCCTCGTCCGTCAAGTCGTGGTATTTTTTTGCGAAAACCACGGTATTATGGCTACAGGATTTGAACCCGCAACCTCACCCCTCACACATACCTCCCTCACGATCGCACCTCACACTCACGTGTGCCTATATTGAATTTTGGCTCCCCACGTATTATTCTAAACCGAGCATAAATTTATTGTTTGAGGACCTAAATGATTTCAAATAAAAAAGTTGTCAACTGTAAAGTTTCATAACTCTTCGAGATCTATAACTTCCATTTTGGTAGTTTCTCCATCCGAGGCCATTTACAAAATTTGAATTTTAAATTTGAAAAATTCAAACATAGTTTTGTATAACAAGATGATTTCAAATGAAAAAGTTGTCAACTACAAAGTTTCATAACTTTTCGAGATCTACAACTTTCGTCTTTGCTGTTTGTCCATCCGAGATTGTTTAAAAAATTCAAATTTAAAATTTTTGAAAATTCAAATATAGTTTTCCTTGACAGGATGATTTTAAATGAAAAAGTTGTCGACTACAAAGTTTTATAACTTTTCGAGATCTACAACTTTTATTTTGGTTGTTTCTCTATCCGAGGTCATTTGAAAATCCAAATTTCTAATTTGAGAAATTCAAACATAGTTTTTCATGACAAGATGAATTCAAATGAAAAAGGTGTTAACTACAAAGTTCTATAACTTTATGAGATCTATAACTTTTATTTTAGTTATTTAATCATTTTTTCAT